GAAGATGACGCAATCAAAAACTGAGCCCACCTTCGAATGAATCTACAAATATCAAAAATAATTTGTTCAATATTTCAGACATAATCACTTATTGTACAATACCTTATTATTATTCAAAACTAAATATGCAAATAAATCTATTTTTATTATAGGTACATACTTACCATCCTGTTTCATTTCCAAACTAATCTTTTTAGAACACTTATGGGTGACATTTCTGTTGCTATGGAACTTATTTCTTTTGTCCCATAAGGGTTGTTTATCAAATACCAAGGCTATCAAAACTTCGTTATCCACATCCATTTTCATAAACATATACGCTCTACACCAGCGAACGCTTAAACCCGTATGGCTCGGTACAGGTAGTCGGTACCGACAAGTTTAAACCTGTTTCTTTATATGTGACCGCATAAGATAACATAGAAATATTATACCTGCACCGATCGGTACCGACCAGCACAAATTTGTCTGTACCAGAAACTTGTTTCTTTATGTAACCACCCTAAGAGAATGAACGAACGCCATTCACTGTGAGCAAACGCAAATCGTAGGGTTAGCTTGTTGTAACTCACACTCGCTTGTCTTCGCTTGTCGATACATATGACGTTAACTCGGTTAACGCGATGGTGAAGTCATTCGATGATTTCGTGGAACTTGTACTAGGCACACTGGTCGCAACTTCGAAAGACGTTATAAAGAGCATTTAGCCGCGTACAAGATTTGCAATCCCGATAAATTCCATTTTGCTAAACATCTTTTGGACACTGTACACAACCTAGCCAACGACCACTCCTTGAAGGTCTTACATACGTGTAATAAATGGCTGCAACTGTGTGTGCTGGGACATTTAGAGATATTAAAAAATAATAATAGCAACGTTGCATTTCTGAATGAACAAAAAAAATGTTTCTAACTCACCTCTCTTAAAGATCTTTAAGCCTGCTCTCTAATAACATTTGCAATATGGTCGTTTGTTACCCGGTGATTGGCGATTGGTTGCGTGGTTGGAGTGTAGGCGGGCGTTACGCGGCGGTTTGTTATTAATTTTACAAACAGCTGCGTACGTCAGGTGGTGATTGGTCACATGTTTTATCGCATGACGCAGTCGCTCGCTATTTAAGTAGGGAGTGGTTACGTCAGCGAGCTGTAAAAATACCAGTTGTTTTGGTTCTCCAGTCACTTAGCGGTCAGCTACCGCAGACTCTACATCACTTGAAGATGCCTCGTGTAGAGGCAAAACACGTGTCGTGTTGTTGTCAGTGGTGTGTCTTTCCTAGTGTAGTGGTGTTGGGAGTAATGGTACTGGTATTAGTGGTGACGAGGATAGTGCACGCAATTAAGGGAGGGCGGCAGGTCCTCTTCAAACAAGGCAAGACACATCATTTTATTTTGTCGAGCGGATGTACGCAGGGTAATTTTTAACAACCTTACTATAATAGATTTCCGCAAAGTAACGCCTGATTCTATTAATTAAAAGAAAGAAATCTCTCAGAGACTCATATTTGCGCCATTTACTCAGTTTAGCTGGTTTACCTGCCTCTGATGCCGCTCCGGCTCGAGTTAGCCCTGAGGCAAGAGGTTGCAAAATTGTCTACGTAAGTAGCATTCCTCCACACTAGAGATATTTTTTATTTAAAAGGTATATCAGAATTAGAACAATATGTAAAAGTATTATAAATTAGATTATTATATAATTATAGATACACGCCTATTATAAATGTACACAACATTAATAATAAGGCAAAAATTAAAAAGAAAACTTATTGGATTCATTATGGAAAACTAAAGGAAATTGAAGTGACTAATCAAATAATAGAAATTAAAAAAATCTCAAATTCGGAAGACACGCAGCCAACCGCATCGACTATATATGGCGTCATCGTTCCCGAATTGATGTAATTAAGATATAAACTATACCAAAATATAGAAAAGTGTATAGACATTTACAATAACGCTATTTCGCGAATATCTTCACAGTTTATAATATGTGTGAAGACAGGCGGCATCCAATCAAGTAGCATCCCACCACGTAGGATGCCACTTGATTGGATGGATGACGCGTCAACGCTGAGTGAAAGAAGACATACTATCCTTTGCACATACAATTTAATTTTAAAACTAGTAGAAAAGTGATCGTTCCGTCCAAAAACTGTTACAGGTGCGACAATAAACTAAGTGTGTCAGGTGTAAGACTTATAAGGTGCAAAACATTGGAGTTTAATCGGAAAAATATACAATTATACATTCTTTACAGACTGTACTAAGGTCAGTCTCAGTGTCCATTTTAAAAATAAATAAACAATCACCCGCAGCTGAACATAATATTACAAATAAACAAGTGGACTGACATTCTCGCTCGGCTAAATCGGGTGTCGAGTTGCAGTTTGAGTGATCAAGAGTCCGAGTTCAATACCACGGCGGTGCAGACAATTTGCTTTTTTATTTCATATTTTTATTTTTTATTTGTTGTTTTTGCAAATAGAACTATACAAAATTCGTGAAAACAATGTCACGTAATAAGTCAAGCAATAGCTCCGGTGCCCAGAAGATGGTGCCGCCTGCCGGAAATCTGCTGGCCTGCGCGGTATCCGTCGCGAAATTACGAGCATCCGCTGCTTGTAAAGCAGCAAGTGCACTTAGTATTGGGACCTCGAATATACCAAAGCTCCTAAATGTGGGTTCTTCAATACGATGACAAAGGAGCACAGGGCTAAGTGGACATGCCCCGAATGTGCCTGCAAAGAGCGGAAGGGAGGCGATAATGCCAAGACACCGGTTAAGTCCCGTACGGACCAGGATACTTCCTGGACGAGAGCGGAATGTCCTTGGACGAGCAGATGGACGAGAGTGATCCGAGCGTGGTGGAGCGGCTGCCGGCGCCGTCGACCAGGGAAGAGCCGCGGCCGACATCGATGGCTAATAATAACCACCCACTGCCGGCGACATTCGGCAAAACGACACTTGGCAAAGCGACACTCGGCGAGGCGATCAGGAAGATCAGGCTCTTCAGGGAAGTTATGCGCGAGGAGCTGAAGGCTACGCTACTAAGTCAGCTTCCGAAAGCGAAGGGCGAAAACGTCACGCACAGCGTCATCGTGCTCGCCGGCCGCCTGGGGGTAACCCTGGATGAGTGGGACGTGATGTTCGCGGAGCGCGTAGTAGCGCCCCCAGCGGAGGCAGGCGGGGCGCACGCGTGCGCCGCGGCCTCACCGGCGAGGGCGAAGCGAGGGTGTTGGTCAATGAGCGCCTGACCCGCGCTAACCGCCAACTCTTTCGTCAGGTTCAGGATGAGTGCCGCCGTCTCCAGTGTAAGTACAACTGGACTAGGAGTGGCCGCATTTTTGCTCGTAAGAGCGACAGTGCGCAGGTATTTCAGTTGCGCTCGATGGACGACGTTGTGAGGCTGCTCGGCCGCCCGTCGCAATGACTGGCAGCTCACTGTAAATATTTTTTTTAAAAAACAATAAGTTTCACACACATTGTCTCACCGAAAAATATTATATTATTCATTGGCTTCCCTCTAATATGATCTAGGTGCTTTTTTTCTTTTATTGCTACTTTTTTGTGCAACTCTAGTATTAGGAAATTCAATAAAAATACTATTGTAAGCTATTACGGGTTATTTCAACATCATATATTCATGAAAAATAATAACAATTCTATTCTCAACATTTCTATCCTAAATGTTTACAATTTCATGTCAATCTTGTTTAAAAATATTATTTCAAAGAACGTTTTTCAATGAAGGCTCTCTCTGTACTAAGCATGAGGAATTTATAGGGGCAATGGATGACTTAGCCTCGGACATGATGACTACAAATGAAACATGGTTGAGAGCTGGAGAGAGGGACAGAGCTTCTAACCTGACTGATTACTAGCTGAGGCACACCCCGAGGCCAAGCCATATCGAAAACGGGCTTGGGTCTGGGGTAGGCTTCTATGTATGCAGTGGTATGAATGTGAGGCCTTGTCCTCACCCTAACACTGTGGCATCGGTGGAACAGATGTGGGGTTCCACGTGCCTACTCAATAAGATCATAGTTATTGGCACAGCTTACAGAACACCCTGGCAAGACCCAATAACTGTTCCTTAACGCTATAACTGTGTCTATTGCCTCCTTTATCTGGGCGGACGGACTGATTTTGACTGGAGACTTCAACATAGTACTGCTTGATGAGGACAATAATAGATGCAAGGAGCTAGTGCAATGTAAACAGAGCCAAAACCTCAAGCTATTAGTGACTGAATCATAGACACACTGACCATAGTGCGACCCTGATTCATGTGATTTTCACAGACTTGCGAGCACTCCGGGTAGTAGTGAAATATTCCCCAGACATCCCCCACTATTACAAATTGTCGACATCATCTGTACGCTGCACCAGCTGATTATACCAGTATTGTAGCCAAGGTGAATGAGGACCTGGACAGCAACTCTCCCTGGTGCAGTTAAAACTATTTGACCATTAACCCCAAGAAGTCCCAATTCATGATCATAGGTTCGCACAAGTATAGCTAAACTTAAAGATATAACTTTAAATATTCATAGAAATGGAGAACTTATTACAAGGGTTGAAACAGCCAGAAATCTAGGACTTGTCATCGTTTACAACTTAAAATTCTAAAAGTATATAGCGAAGTGTGTTAGAAATAATTTTTACCGGCTGAAACTCCTTTACAAGTTGAGACCCTACCTGAGTGAGAGACTGAGAATTAGCTTCTGCGAGTCTTTGGTCCTCAGCAAGTTTAATTACTGTGACTGAGTATATGGTCCATGCCTCTTATCAAGAACGTTCAGACTTATTCAGAGAGTGCAAAATGCTTGTGTATGGTTCTTTTTTACAGTTTCACCTCAGTCACATGTTACCCCATATCTCAATGATGCAAACATGCTGAGGATGGAGGCACGCAGAAGATTGCATTTGACTGCTATGATGTTCGGAGTCATCACTACAAGAAAACCTAAATACTTCTTCCTAAAGCTGGAATGGGCCCGTGATCACAGCAGATACCCCAGGAGGGAGTGTACCCACGTTTTTGCCACTCTAAAACATCGCACAGTAGCGTTTCGGGGCTCCTTCAGATTCGCTGCGTCACGGTATTGGGACAACCTGCCTCCGCCCTTGCATGCCCTGCAAGTTAGAAACACGTTTAAAACTCACGTAAAAAATACTTTATATCACTGCAAAAGACGGGTGGTGCTGACACACTTACCATGGAGTGCTCACGTCACGCACGGGCGTTGGCAGGCCTGTCCCACCGTAAATAATTCCAGCGTCCGGATGAGTTCCGACTGACACATGTTCCCTATCCTCGGTACCCTCGGCATGGAGCACTCTACAACAATCCATTAAATGACGTTTTGGACAGAGAACGAAGGAAACCAAGTAATGGGTCAATGCTTACCAGGAGGTATTGAGCGACGCGCATGCCGCGGTTGGCGCGATCGGCTCTGAGTGGAATCGCGCGCGTTTAGCATTCTTTAGTAATAAAATTGTAAATAATACAAGATCTCACAATAGTCAATACTCACACTTAGGTGAAAATGCACCTCTTCAAACTTTTCACTATAAATAAAATACGTGCCAAATGCATGGCTTTAAACGAAGAAATCATAAACAACATAGAATAAAAGAGATGTATGGACACATGGTATTTTTGACAGTTTTTTTCTCCTTTTTTTATTCGGATGTGTTCGTTCGGTTGGGACTCGAAACAATTTGTTCGCTTTCTATATATGTACCGTTTGTAAATGTGCATGCACTGCTGTGTCAATAAAGTTTATTTTCTTTCTTTCTTTCAATGATAGCCCTAGAGACACAAGACAGATTAGCAGAAGTCCAGGTGAGTGCACATGCATTCCTTCACATCTTTCCTGTAGCCCGAATTTAAGGGCAATTTTGTATCGCGAAGTAGTAAATTCGCACCGTACCCTACAGTGCGTTAATTTACGTAAAATCATTCTTTTAATAACTCTGTACACGCCCTGAGCTGCCCCAACAAAGGTAGACTGGACTAGGGCCCATAAGTAGTCAGCAGGGCAGCAGAGGATGGGGCCGAACGGCCTATGGAGACTTATCATTCTACACAATAGATATAAGGCTAGGTAAACAAATAGTACGTACCTGCTTCCGAAGCTAAGACCGCCCCAAGGCTCGGTCAGGCCGTAGGTAGATGTAGGTGCATGTAAGTGGTGTGTAGTAGTGTTTATATATGTGACCTGACCTAACTGAGGTGATCGGGCAGCGGCCTGGTCCCATGCTGCCCCACAATGCTGCATCAGTCCAGCAGGCGTCACCAAATGAAAACTTCTTTCGTCATTTCACTATTTCAGTCTATCAACTTTATTGTACATTTAACTAACTTCAAACTCAACTAATTCAACGTTCATCATAAAATCAAACACGTGACACCCGACCCAAGTAACGAACAGTAGTTCAAAGTTCAATATTCAATGTTCCGGATTCATTTATCACCAAATTAGAAATAGGGAACTAAAGCGATCTATTCACGAGTCACAAAGTTCAGCGTTACAAACAACAAACTAAATTCCTTCGTACGATATTAAATACTATGCCCGCATTAAGACTCAAAATCAGCCTAGCTGACACGCAAACTAACTACAGAGTCAACACACAAAAGGCACTTCACGCGACGGTACAATTAAACATTAACTTCCAAAAATAATTAACCGGGTCACGCCTTCGAAATCGAATGCGAGCATCAAATTACAAACAGGGAACGTATGTCCACTCGGCGTGTGCGCAAGGTTCCACGTTACACAAGCAAGTTAAATATTGCAAAATTCACTTCAACCGGCAATCACTATACAATTACTTTCAAACGAAATTACTTTAATCAGTCAATTCAATACAAGCCTCTTGTTACGAACGTACAAATTAGACAAACTAATCCGAGGCGGTCTTCACGAAACCACAAATTCAATAGCGAATTAAACGTGCACAAATACTAAAAATCTAGACCACAAAACCAAAACTAGACGCGCGAAACTGCTGCAGCGGTCACCACAAAATACGTTAATCGACCGCGCCGCTGCTCTCAAGCTACTGGTCTTGCCCACGAGTGCTGAACGCCGGGAAGCTGTATACCGCAGCTCCCCCCCCCCCCCCGCCGAGGCGCACGTCATCTCACACTATCGGGCGATTCGCTTAGTGAAACGCGATTGGATGGCGTTTCAAAATGCCTATATTTGGCTTAAACAAACTCTGAACCAGCAGTTGGTCATTTAAACCAACCCACAATTTTGACCCTTCTCTCTGAATTATAATTAATTAATTAAACCATTTTAGTCACTCCCGCCGGGAATATTTAAATATCCACAGCAAGAGTTAAATTACCTAATTATTAATAATAAATATAGATTATGATTTGACGCTAGAGTCTCCGTTACTTAACTTTAAGGAAAAATTGAATTAGAAGTTATTCCTTAGATTTTTTCTTTAAATTAAGATTATATAAATAATAAAGTATATAAATAATACTCTACTAAATTATTTTGACTTTAGTAGTTATGATGTAACACAATAGAAGAGACAGACGAAATAAAATTATAACGATTCCTTGTTACGAAGGCGGAACCCTAGAAAGAAAGATTTAAAAATATTGCGAAGTAAAAAATATTATCTACTTAATGTGAATTATATTACGTATATTAGATAAAGAATTATTTTCGAAGGTGATTATCACGAATCGTAAACAATATAATGTTGGATTGAACTTAATTATGTTATTAAATGCTCATTACACCCAAAGGTTAAAATATATAAACAAAAGGTTATCCTTTTGTTATTTTAACCTCATATATAATATATACTCGTACAGTGACCATAAATCGGATTCTTTTTTCATGTACGTGATAGAGCCACGCTGCAGCTATATAGTAGTTGAAGCACGGATGGCTCGTCTCGACCGGGGTAGGACCACGCTCTGACAGAATACCAGCGTAAAAAAGCAGTTTAACGCTGCTGTATTTCGTATGGAGAGTGGAGAAAAACAGAGACCCCTTTTATTAGAAATGAGGTATTCCATGTATATAGGCGACAGCAACTACTTACCATCAGATAGACTGTTTATTCGTTTGTCACCCTTATCTTATAAAAAACACCTATACCTGTAGTTGTTGGGGGCACTAAGTTCGAAGTTGTTAATGAGTATGTTTACCTAGAACAAATTGTCTGACTAGGTAAGTCCAACTTGGTGAATCGATGGATTCAACTCGGCAGGGCATCTTTCGGGAGATTACGACATATTGTCAACACTATATCTCAAAACTTGATAACAATATTTTGCAACTAGTGCGTGTTACCAATGATGACATATGGATCAGGGAGGTGGTCCTTACCTGTTGGCCGTGCAAGGAAGCACAATGTCGCTCAGCGAGCTATGAAGAGGTTTATTCTCTGTATTGAAGAATTAGAAATGAGGATAGCTGCAGAAGAACCGCGGCAACCGACAAAATCCAACAGATCTGTAAGCTAAAGTGGCAATGAGCCGGTCATAGTGCACGAAGAACCGACAACCGTTGGGAAAGAAAGGCTCTCGAGTGGCAGCCTCGTTCTGGTACGTGATGTGTAGGGCGGCCTCTAACTATATGGAGTGACAACCTGGTAAGAGATGCAGGTGGCTCAGGAACGTGCTTTGTGGTATTCTTTGGGGGAAGCCTACGTTCAACAATAGACTTGTGAATGGCTGTAATGATTGATTGAAGCTTATTAATTTAGACAAAAATAACAAAAGAATTAAAATTAACGAAACTAAAATTATGTACATCCTACTTGACCGTGATAAATTTTGTTTGAAAAAAAAATCATTAATAACCTTTAACAAACCGCTAGATAACAAGTGTACTTCAAATTTATTAGCATTAAAAGATTAATTTGATAAAATTTAAATGGAAAAACTATAAATTTGAAAAATATCTACGCCTAATCGGCGCCCTCAAACAAAAAATTAGTAATGTGCTATTATAGAGTTTTGACTGTTATGTCAAATTCGAAATTTATAGGTTAGATTACGCTTTGGCAGTTTTTTTTTTCAACATTTTTCTATATTTATTTAAGGAGATATAATAAATAACTCGATATATAATAAATATAATAAATAAATCGATCTGTAGTTCTTGAAGAGAGCATTGTCGCCTTTCTTGAAAAACAATTCCACCGCACTTCTGCTTAACGCCTCCGGAATAGTGTCACCAATTAAAGAGCTTCTGAAAGACTTCATATACTGATTTTCCACCAGCTCTCAGAAACTCCGCTATAATTCCTTCCTCGCCCGGGGCCTTGGCGTTTTTAAAATGCTAGAGAGCCATTCTAATCACGCTCAGACTGACGTCCGGGATATTGTCGGAATAGTGTTGGATAAGGCTTGCTCTTGGATCGTTACTCGCACTTGCGTGTGGCTCGAACGATAATGTCACTCAATCTCATCTCAATCTCACTCAAAATCTCAGGTGTACTGGAAACGATGCTGCCACACTCGGTCTTCAGCTTCGATAGTTCGCTCTTTCTGGTAGATAGATCTCTGGGCAGCGGCCTTATCTTTATGAAAAAGCACTCCAGCACGCAATTTTCCTCTACGTTTATTCTTTAGTTCTTTCCCTAGTTTTTTTTTGTTGATTAAGGATGTGTAGATAATAATATCCGGTTATTGTCTCGTAGTCGATTATTATTATACCTTTCGCATCCCAGAACACAGAGACCATTATTTTTCCAGTGGGCGCAGACACTTTGAATCTCTTGGCGGGAATACGGTCTTTTCCACATCTTGCTTTGGTTTTTCGTCTCCGGGTTAAAATAGTGTACCCACGTTTTATCTACGATTACGGGACGAGCGCAAAAATAATCTGAATAATCTTCAGTTATTTCTAAATTTAGCTTTGACATGTTTTTGAGCATGCTTTTTGAGCGTCTGTTAACATTATTTGAACCCATCGCGCGCACTACATTTTGAATTTTAAAGTGCGAGTTAAAATGGGGAAAGAAGGTTCTCAAGTGGCAGCCTCGCCGCAAGTGGCAACTAGGCGAAGAGTGGGGCGACCCCCACTAGATGGAGTGATGACCTGGTGAGACATGCAGGAAGTCGATGGATGCAGGTGGCTCAGAACCGTGCTTTATGGCATTCGTAGAGGGGGGGGGGGGGGGCTTTTCAGCAGTGGATTTGTGAAGGGCTGTAGTGATGATGATGATTAATGCCGCTGCCCATCGATCTGATGTTGCAAGCGCTACCATCCGAACTGCTCGATTTTAGTTGATGCAGCACCCACCATATTCTCCAAACCTAGCTCCATGTGATTTTTACTTTTTTACTGACCTGAAAAAGCACTTGCGTT